TTTTAAGAAGAGAGGCTCTGTGTTCATTATCCCTCAACTCCAGGAACTCACCCAGTTTGTCATTGAATCCTTACAAATTTCTAGCTTCCACATTTGATTTTCAGAGCTATCCTTGCTAATTCAAGAGAGGGAAAATGTTCTCAAGATGGGTTTGTGTGCTTATATTTGTAATTTTTGTCTGCTCATGACGTGCTCTGTAAGGAGCAGGTAACAGCACTGCCCAGTGCAGTGCTAATATTTACCTTGTTAGTTTTAGTGCTTGTAAAAGGTGCAAGTACCACAATTGACCCCTTTTCCTTTAGGTACTGAGGATGTACCAAACGAGTGCAGAAGCAAACCATGAACCTCAGGCTCTTCATAGTCGGTTTATTTGGCCCTGAGATGGAACTTGTTTTATTTGGTGTATTTCTGTATGACAGAATACATGGGAACATGGGAAAAGCATCTCGAGATGTGATTTTTTGAGCCTGGTTTGCCTGTGAGGCTGATATGGGTGGACCCATATGAGGAGCGGCTAAGGGAACTGGGGAGGGGAGACCTCATCACCACCTACAGCTGCCTCAAGGGAGGTTGTAGAGAGGTGGGTGCTGGTCTCTTCTCCCAGGTGGTGGGGGACAGAACAAGGGGAAACGGCACCAAGCTGTGCCAAGGGAGGTTCAGGTTAGAGATAAGGAGGAAGTTCTTTACTGAGAGGGTTGTCAGAAGCTGGAACAGGCTGCCCAGGGAGGTGGTGGAGTCACCATCCCTGGATGTGTTTAAAGAGCGGGTAGACGAGGTACTTAGGGATATGGTTTAGTGGGTAGACAGGAACGGTTGGACGTGATGATCTCAGAGGGCTTTTCCAACTGAGCGATTCTGTGTGTGATTCTGTGTGTGATTTAAAAATTGCACTAATAGTGCCATTTTTGGTCCATGCTGTTGCATTTCAGCAATTCCTGGAGAAGTGATCTCAGAGGGCTTTTCCAACCAAGCCATTCCGTGTGTGATTTACAAATTGCACTAATGGTGCCACTTTTGGTCCATGCTGTTGCATTTCAGCAGTTCCTGGAGAAGCTGGCCACTGTTCTGACCTTGCTTTTAAAAAAAAATCATTAAAAATTGTAAGTATTTTTAATGCTGCTGGTTTGCCTTTCCCCCTGCATCGGTTTTAGGTGTTGGTAGGCGAAATCTATCTCTGGCACAGTAATTATCCAGTGTTAATGTGTTCTCTCTTAATTTCTCCTGCAGGGGCTCTCCTCTGGAAGATTGAACAGAAGACTAACAAAGCATTTGCTTGCGGAAAAGTCACTATAAAAGGAAAGCGCCACTGGTACGAGGCTTTACCCCAGGCTGTATTTGTTGCTTTGAGTGATGACACTGCCTGGATTATCAGAACAAATGGAGATCTGTATCTGCAAACAGGTACCTGGATTAATTGCAGGCTCTTTGAATTTTTGCAGGTTAAGATTATTAGCCACTTATTTTTTCATGCCATGTGGAGTCCATACAGTATAGGGAATTTATGCCATGGGATGGATGCAGAGAAATGGAAAGGGATTGCAGAAAATGCTGAAATGACACTTTTGCCTTGAAAATGGTACGGTGCACTGAAAGAACTGGGCCCTAAGTGGGTTTTCCTTTCTTGCTTTAAGGATTTTAGCAAAGTTTTAAGGACTTTCATAGGTGATGAGATAGTGTGTGGCTGTTGAGAACCACTCAGTAATGAAAGGGAGATGGAAGATCATCAAGTGCTTTGTAATTATAGAGAAGTGTGTATTCTACATGACATTGTGGAAGGTTTTATGCAGAGAATATTCAGGTGAAATACGAGGAGCTGGGATGAAGGATGGAGCTCCAAATTTTAGAGTTAAGGGAGAAGGAATCAAGGGCTCTCTGGCCTGCGGGCTTTGCACGGAGAGCTGGGTTGGTAAGGAAAAAATACAGATAATGTGGTGAAGGAATTACTGGAGAAGTAAGAGGAAGACAAGGTAAGGGGGACACAGTAAGACGCACTAAAGCAGGACAGCATTTCAGAGTGGCTATCAAGATCCTTATTTATCTTCCATTTAATTTGGATACTCTCCTAATTTCTCTTGTTGATTTAATTGCTGTGGCACAGCACAGAAATTCTTAATGATTAACTGTTTGAATCCACAGCATGATTTCAAACAACCTCTACTCTTAAAATATTTTCTTTTAATTAAGCTCAGTAGTTCCAGAGAAATGAAGTGGCCTTCCCAAGGTCACAAGCAGGGACAGCGGTGATAAACGTGAACTTTTCATGCCAATCACTCAGGGCTCTGTGGGTCTGGATCAATATTTTCCTTCCCTGTGACAGACTGGTTTGATTACATCAGCTTTCGTTCTGCATTTCTTAGGTTTCTAATTTTGTCTTGGATGCCAAAAATAAATTCTCAGTGTATCTGTCTTGTTCACGTGAGGCAACCAGTGCGAATGATTCCTCCAGGACCTGTTCATACTCTCTCCAATGTCCTTCTGTAACATGAGCGTGCTCAGAGGGTTGGAAATGTGCATTATTCTTTTTATTTTAATGTCTCATACAGATGAGTCTATTCAGACTTGCTTTGGCAGCATGAGAAAATTAAGCAAAATCTACACCTCTTGGTTTTTCACGTGCAGCCATACAAATCAAGCTCCAGTATAATGGTGAAGAAGATACTTTCCTCTAGATTATATGCATAGATGTGTATAAACTACCTGTAAATCTGCCAAAACATCTCTCTTCAGTACTACACCGTTTTGTAATGATCTGAACAGCAGCAGCAGAGCATTTTGGGCAAAGGTTCTCCAATTACTGCCTTTTTCTTTGCTGCTGCTGTCAGCTCCAGTACAGGTTTTCTACAGGAAGGTTCCTGGTCCTGACACTAGAGGGAGAAAAGGAACAGAAATGATGGGACGGGACTTGTGCTCTCTGCAGGCTGTTGAGGAATACACCGTGGTTTACTTCTTAGAACATAGATTCAGCTATATTAGAGGAAATAATTTAGAGAAAGAGCAGTCAGTCAAGGCAGTAGGGGTCAAATGGAAAGTGTCAGGGATATTCCCCTCCTCGTTTTCTTTTCTGGGGTAGCGTTGTTTCTTTTCTTGTAGCTGCCAGAAGCCCAAGTTTGTAAAGCAATGCTCCTTTCTTGATTCCTAGGCCTGAGTGTGGATCGTCCTTGTGCCCGAGCAGTAAAGGTTGACTGCCCTTATCCACTGTCGCAGGTTACCTCCCGAAACAACGTGGTGTGGGCCCTGAGCGAGCAGCGGGCCCTGCTGTACCGCGAGGGAGTGCGCAGCTTCTGTCCCGAAGGGGAGCAATGGAAGAGTGACATTGTCAGGTAACGGCAGAAGTTCGTTACAGAATTAGTGACATTCATTAATTAATTAACGGACACAGACTGGAACACAGGAGGTTCCACTTCAATTGGAGAAGAAACTTCTTCTCAGTGAGGGTGACAGAGCCCTGGCCCAGGCTGCCCAGAGAGGTTGTGGAGTCTCCTTCTCTGCAGACATTCAAAACCCGCCTGGACGCCTTCCTGTGCAACCTCATCTGGGTGTTCCTGCTCCGGCAGGGGGATTGGACTGGATGAGCTTTTGAGGTCCCTTCCAATCCCTGACGTTCTGTGATTGTGTAATTCTGTATTTAATGACATACATTAATTACAGAAGTGGTGCAACCCTAACGCTCTGTGATTCTGTGATTCTGTATTTAATTACATACATTAATTACAGAAGTGGTGACACAGTTGCAGCGAGTTTAAGAAGGTGGGAACAATCTTTAAAGGGACTTTATAAGATGACTTTTTGGATTAAACACTCTCTTTAATCTGTGCCATAATGGTTTTAATGAGCTCTGGGGTATTTGAGTGATTTTGGTTTTTTTCTGAGATTAAATCTCAGCATTTTCTTGCTCATCCACGCAGCTGGATGGCACTTTTCCACTTCCCAGTCACAGATTTTTATAAATATTCTGGATAATTGGTATTTAGCTTTGTAGTTGATCCTATGCTCGTGGTGTGAGCTAAAGTTAAAAGCCCTGAGTGTTTACTGGTGGCTTTGAAAATGCAGAACGTAGACTTTCTTGTGACAGCAGCCTGAAGCAAGCATAGGAAGAAATTCCAGTCCTCGTCGTCATATGACTTTATCTTCTGCTGAATATCCTGTTGTGGAGCTGTAATTTGTGTTACCTCCCAGCCTGGTATTTGGCTCTGGAAAAATCTGAGATAATATTCGGTGTCTTATGCAAATTTCAGATTTGAATGTACTTTAATTAGTTTATTTAAAGAAAATGTCTCCTTGACCTACACCTTAGGTACACTCGGTGTTCTTGGACTTTGCATTAAAATTGCAGCAAGCAATCCCTGTTTGTTCTTAAATTGCTGAGAAGGGTTCTCTGAAAGAAATAGCATTGTTGGCTACCTGTTAGATATCCGATATAATCACCAGATCCTGTTGACTTTCTGGGCTTGAGGATTGTTTACTGATACAGGAAACTTGTCCTAAACTCAACGTTTATCTTTGCCATACAGCTAGCTTGAATTCTGTATTTACGGTCCCTGAACTGCCTGTGTGGTTCTCAGAATCGGTTAAAGTTGGAGGAGATACGTTTATGAAGTCTGCCTTATTAAAAACATTAAGAACACAACTCTTTATTTCTTAGTGACTGAACAAATTAGGTTTTGTTCATTTGGTTATGTCTCCAAGTCTCAAATCTCAAGTGATCTTTGAAGGATTTTTCTGCTGAATGGTTTTTCCTTATGCAAACCAATACAATTTGAATTACCGAATTAACTCTGAAAATATGAAACCCAATGTGTTTTTGAGCTTGGCCACACCGAGTTCGATCACTTTGAACTGCAGTTAGCACTGTAACAGCGTCCTTAAAATACCGTCAGCGTACATTTCAATAAGGTTTGTCATTTTTTGTTGTACTTGTTTGCATTTCCAGTGAAATGCAAGCTTTGGAACCAGTGTGCATAACCCTTGGAGATCAGCAGACACTGTGGGCTTTGGATATCCATGGAAACCTGTGGTTCAGAACTGGTATCGTTTCAAAGAAGCCACAAGGAGATGATAACCATTGGTGGCAAGTAGGCATTTTTCTATTTTGCTTTCAGTTTAGTCTTTTTGCCTTGGGTTTCTTCCTTGCGTTGTTTTCCCATGAGAGTCTAAGCTAAAACTGAATGAGTTGTTTGATATTTTACAGCACCCTTTATTCGATATATTTAAACTGCAGCGTGGCTATGGCTGAAATCCCTTTTCATGTCTGCTATAAAAAAAGGGTGGAAAAAACAAATCCCATGGGCATCCAGAGCAGTTTTCAGGACCACAAGAAATGCTCGATCAGGTCGTATTGACGGTGCACGTAGCTCGGTACCTTTCCAGCGGCAGAAGGACGTGCTTCTTTTCTCTTCCAGCATCCATCCTTGTCCTTAGCGAGATGAAATAAATAATAAGTAACCTCGTAAAAATGGTTTTATCACCTGTTTTTCCGTTCAGTTGAGGTTTCTTTGAACTGCCTGGGGCCGCTTGCTTCAGTCACAGCTCTTGTGAGTTAAAACAACTCGGTCTCTGCAGGTGCTCCCTGGTATTGATGTAGAATTCCCAACTCTTTGTTTTCCCCAGCTTTTCTTATTTTCTCCAGAGAAAATAAGAAGGTGGGGGGAAGAGGGTACAAAACCAGCTATACATAAACTGAAATTCTTTAAGCTAAATTTTGTGTGCATATATTATCTCTTCTTGCATGTAGGTGTTATGAATAGCTTGGCTTTGAGGTTATCGGGAAACTGCTCTTCTTTTTGTGCTCTCCATCCTTTCTAGGAATATCCCAGAGTGCTCCCGACCTCGTTGTTCATGACAGAACTTGGGCAATTGCTTATTTATCCCTCCTCCTGCCTTATGAATGAGTTTTTGAGATGTGATTTAAATTGCTACACTCTGTAAGTTTCTCTCTTTGGGAAACTAAAAATTCACCTCTTGGTTTGCAGAGTGCAGGGTAT